CTTGAGTAGGTGATGTCTGTGAATGGAAGTTCTATTTGCATGCCAGTCAAACTATTAACCTAGCTGGCATTAACTTCTCAATAGTACATAAGATATATTATATTTACATCGCAGTCTCAAGTGTAGAAATATTTCTTGTACACCGAACTAGTTAATACTCCATGGGATCCAGGATGTGATTATCCTAGTTTAGTGGTTTTAAAAAAGACACGAAACAGCGGGCTGAATCCCAAATACCCATTCTATCAGTGGAGGTCCTTTCCGCCAGTGGTAGGAACATTCCTCTTGACTCAAGATGAAAAGATTCTTGCATCAGGGGAAGGCTGTTACTGCCAAAGAAAAGCACCTCTCGCAGTGGAATGGATCCACAGTATCCAGGCCCAATTAGGGCTGCCAGGTCCTGGGGGGGGGGTTCCCGTCAAAAGGTCCCCCAACCCGCCGGTCCGGATCCGGCCAGTGGGGCGAACCCGATCCCCAAAGTGGCTAAATCGGGCCAACGTGCCCAGCACAATGACGTCACCCGGAAGCGACGTCATCATGCTGGGCACGTCGCTGGGCGACGCTCTAGCAATCAGCCTAAAAACTCTATGGTACCAAAGAACTCCCGGGCAGGGCGCAGGGCTCCCCTGCTATTATGAAGGTAGGCCTTGACAACCCTAGGCCCAGTTCATGAAGGGTAAGTATACCAATAATAGCTAAAAGGAACCTCCATGGACAGAGATAGCACAAACCACCAGCATTAGAACAGATGATGATAATCAAATCCTATTTGTTAGCTTACAGAATAATCCGGAGGGCTCCTCTTGAAGCCAAGACTGGACTAGATCGATCTTGGCTCACTTTAATACGGTAACTCTTAAATGTAAGAACAAGTTCTGATGTTACCAGAGCCGTGCAGTTGCCATTTGTGCATGATCGTAATCCTATGTTGTTCCAAATGAAATGCGGAGGCCGTGTAGGAGGAACTGGACAATGGAGCCGTTCCAAGAACTGGTGTCACTCCTTCCTGCATGTCCCTTCCACCCAGCCTCCGCTTCTCAGATGTTACACTTCTCAGATGTTACAGGAGCTGCATGAAGATGTCTGAGGAAGTGACAGTCTCACAGCCCAGGAAACAGCCAACCTTATATTGATTTAATATATTTTAAACAGTGCATTAGCCCGTACTTGCTGACCATTTCAAGTTTAAGCAAGCTTATATGGGAATTTACGAAATCTCAGTTAACTGTGCTTAAGGTATTCACTCCAAGCAGAGTGTATATGCTTTGCCACTAACACACAAGAGGATTTGCAGGCTCGAATGAGAAAGGTTACACTGCAGAGGTGTCAAACATATTGCCTGTGGGCCAGAATCAGCCCCTGCAGGGCTCCTATCTGGCCCATGAGCAACTGGCTCTCACTTGCTTCCTGCTTTCTTGCACTGGAGCTCACTTTTGCCCAGCTCTCTCCTCTCCTGCTCCCTGATTCGCAGAAAAGAGAAAGGAAGCCAAGCCTCCATTCCCTCAATTAGCGGAGTGCTCCTCCCCCTTTGGGGAGGAAAAGAGCCAGAAAAAGAAAGAGACAGAGTCCCGTGGCACCTTTAAGACCCACAGACCAACCAAGTTTTATAGTAAGTATAAACTTTCCTGTGTGTGCACACTTCTTCAAGGAGGGGGTGAGTGAAAGAGCCAGAAAGAGAGAGATTCCCCCTTTCCAGTTCTAACAGACGGGGGGGAAAGAAACCTAACAGAACAGCTTGCAATCTTTACTAGTGGAAGGGAGCAAGAGTCCAGTACTACCTTAAAGACTAACAACATTTATGGCAGAGCTTTCATGAGTCACTGCTCACTTTTTCAGATACAGCTAGAAAGTGAGTCCATCTGTCGTCATATCTTGGAAAGTGAAGTGATTTCAGATGCCAAATGACAATAGCACGTATTGGTAATGAGAGAAGAAACCTAGGTCTCAATTCAGTCCAGGAGGATGCATTCTCTCGAGCTTCATTATCAGTTGCAATTTAGCAGTCTAATCTCTCTTTGAAATTCCTTTGTAAAAGAATTGCTACTCTTGGGTCAGCAACTGAATGTCCTGGAAGGTTAAAATGTCCCCCCACTGGTTTCTGAACATTGTGGTTTCTAATAGCAGCAGAAAGACTAAGAGTCCAGTAGCACTTTAAAGGCAAACAAAATTTGTGGTAGGATGGGAGCTTTCATGAATCCCTGCTCACCTCTTTAGCCTTATTCCCATTTATTCTTTGTATCCTCCTGGACTGAATCCTCCTGGACCAAACTGAGACCTAGGTTTCCTGTCTCATTACCAATGCTGATATCTCCATGCCTACTACCCCTCTGCGTATCACACCTAAACCAATCAAGTCTGCTATTGCCTTCGGCATCTGAAATAATCTTTATAAAGTTTATACCTCCGGCATGACCCGGCCCAACAAAGTGACATTTATGTCAGATCCGGCCCTCGTAACAAATGAATTTGACACCTTCGGTTTATAGCAATAGCTGTTATGATGCTTTACTTGACTACCTAATAATCCACAGCATCAACTCTTTTGTTGCCTGAGAGCTTCTCCTTAAAGGATAATACACTGCCACTAGAGTGCTGTGGTATAGTGGATTCTAATCTGGGGGATTGGGTTTGATTCTCCTCTCCCTCCAGATGAAGCCTGTTGGGTAAACTTGGGCCAGTGACAGTTCTCTCAGCCCCACCTGTCTCACAAGGTGTCTGTTATGGGGAGAGGAAGGGAAGGTGACTATAAGCTGCTTTGAGATTCCTTAAGGTAGAGAAAAGTGGGGCATAAAAATCTACTCTTCTACCACTAGTTCCCCAAACTAAAGATTCTTCCGCCTCCAACCAATGCTTTAAAATCTGAATGTCGACAGCAAAGTTTAAGCCGAGTTAATGCAATAATAAAGAGCTGCCTATTCTGGCCATCGAATGCCTGGAACCAAAATGCCCCCCCCCCCCCACAACCTGATGCAGGGCCAAAAGTTGCCAGGGAAAGAAAAATGGTACAAAAACCCTGGCTTGCTGACCTGAATACTGAAAAGTTTCGTGCATAAGAACTTAACATGCTTACAGGCCCAGGAGGTTTCTGTGCCTTAGCCCTCCTTGTGGCTTACACATCTTATGCCAGCTTTATTGCTTTGCAACCCCAACCGATTTATTTATTTATTTTTTTGCACAAACAAGTCTGGATTTATTACACCAGGCCTCAAGAACGGGCGCAAAGACTCCCATGGAGCTGTTCGGGAAACTGTTTCCATAGCCACCATGAACAACCAAAGAGCTAACTTCAGTGCAACGGAGCCAACGGAGAGGTAGAATTATTCAAGAGCTTTCCCATGCGTGAACAGAGCCAATGGAGAGGTCGATTTATTCAAGAGCTTTCCCATGCATGAATAATTAAGTGTCCTCAGAGCCTGCTGAGAAGCAAAACACTGCCTACTGTTTCATAAGCCCGGGGGGGGTGGGGGAGTGTCCGTGTCTGAGCAACTTTGCCAAAAGGGGAACAAAAAAAGGGGACTGCCTTTTGAAGACCTGAGTCTCACTAGTTAGAGATGACCAAGCGTTAAAAAACGGAAGCAGGCACCACCAGCACTCCTGCAGGGCTGATCAAACACTCTCCATCCCTTTACCAGAAACAGAAATTTAATACCCATTACACTACAATATACTATAAGGCTTTTTTTGTAGAAAAAGTCCAACAGGAACTCATTAGCATAATAGGCCACACCCAACAGCAGAAACTCATTAGCATATTAGGCCACACCCCTGACAGCACAGCTCATTAGCATATTAGGCCACACCCGCATGTTACCAGAAGTGTGCTCATCCAGCCACACCCACCTTTTGCTTCTTATTCTGTTTACCTTGATTGTTGTCCAAACCCAGGGCTTTTTTTGTAGCAGGAACTCCTTTGCATGTTAGGCCACACACCCCTAATGTAGCCAATCCTAATGAGTTCCTGCTGTTGGGTGTGGCCTATTATGCTAATGCGTTCCTGCTGGGCGTGGCCAACTTGGAAGCCAGCTGGAACTCCGTTCCTGTGCGTTCCTGCCCAAAAATAGCCCTATCATGGTGATAACTCCAGATGGGTAGCCATGGCAGTTTGTAGCAAAACAGGAGGCCTAGTAGCACCTCGCAAACAACAACAACAAACAATTATTCCAGCGTAAATTGTCATCAGTCAAAGTTTACTTCACTGCCTAGCTTTCCTACAGCACATCTGTTAGAATCCCTGGTCTGCAGTAACCCAGGAGAAGTGGGAGGAATTATCGAAGGGGACTATGGGAAAGTCCTTCTACACCTAGAGCCATAATGAGAGACTGCTGAACTCCAGGGCTAAAGGAGGAGCTTCTTGCTCACCTAGCTCACCTGAAGATCAGCAAGGTTAGCACTATAGCGCAATGGCCCTAAAGTGCAGACTTCAGAGGTTTGAGATTAGATGAGCAGGAAGCTGTTCATAAAAGAGTTTCATGAGACGAGAGAGGTTCACTTCCTGCTTCCTGTGCTGCATGGGAATGGGGGGGGGGGGAGAAATGAATGCCTCATAGTGTGTATCCACTAAGCCTATTTACACTCACCAATCCAGGATGCTTTAAACCAGGGGTCATTTCCTGCAGGAGCAGAGCTCTGGCAGTAAAGAGCCCAGGGGGCGGGTACATGCAACAAGCCCCACCCCCTGCTCCCAGTAGCCCTCAGTCAGAGCAAGAAGCAGCCAGGTATGTTGCAGAGCTCCCCCCGGTCCAAAACAGTCCAGTGGCACCTTTAAGACCAAGTTTTATTCAGGTACAAGCTCTCCCTCCTCTGCGAGGACAGATCTGCACGTCCCCCCCGCCCCCGCATAGCTAGCAATCCAAAACAGTCCAGTGGAGCCTGAGCAGTGGGTGTTGCCTTCTGACACACTTACGGTGATGTCAGGGGGCGTGGCATATGCAAATGAGTTATGCTAATGAACTATGTTAATGAGCTCCTGCACCTCTTTTTCTAAGAAATGACCCCTGCTTTAAACTGTTGGGCAGGGGGGAGGTCAGCTGAAAAGAAAGTGGCTGTGTGTACGCATCCACTATTAACTAAGGAATAAGGAAGGAACTTCCCTTCCAAACCTAATTCATTTTCCTCCCTCAAATCTTTTAAGCTTGATAGTGGATAGAGCCAGTACAAGCTTGGAATGATGTGAACGGGGATCAGGGGAGAAGACGCAGACATGCAGAATGGCACCTTTTCCTTATCGTACTGAGAGAAGCAACAAGAAGGTTCCTACTTCAATTTCACACATTATATAGTCGGCTTTCACAACCGGGCAGAAGGGTTTAGGTGGCAGCAAAACCAAAAAGGCAGTCTAGCTCAACTAGACTGTAGCCATATACTTTTATTCCTTTCCTGATTTATTATGCTTCCTTGTAGTCTTGTACTCTCTCAATAAACAGCTCAACTCGGTCTTCCTTATGAGTCCAGCAGTTGCCTACCAAGGCTACAAAAGGACCTCATTTACTTGAAGTCTGCCCATTTACCTGAGACCTTGGTGCCTAAATTTGATATCTGTGCACACAAGTACATAGTTGCATTATGTTCCTGGCGCTTTTTAAAAAATAAATAAATAAGGGAACACTGCAATTATCTGTGAGAGCCAGTTTGGTGTAGTGGTTAAGCGCGGGGGCTCTAATCTGGGAGAACCGGGTTTGATTCCCCATTCCTCCACTTGCACCTGGCTGGATGACCTTGGGCAAGCAGTAATTCTGATAAGAGCTGTCCTTGAAAAAGAGCAGTTTCTGTCAGAGCTCTCTCAGCCCCACCTACCTCACAGGGTGTCTGTTGTGGGGAGGGGAAGGGAAAGGAGTTTGTAAGCTGCTCTGAGACACCTTTGGGTAGTGAAGGGCGGGGTATACATCCAATCTCTTCTCTTCTCTCTTCTTCTATACAGAGGTGTACCATAAAGTCCTAAGCAGCTCTAATCTTTTCTACACTTCATTTTAAAGTTGGGCAAGAGCCTCAAAACTTATTACTGTAGCTGGAACACCTCTGTTTTACTGTGTAATCTATGAAGGACTATGAGTAACAATGTTTGCCCATTCGCACACCCCAAACTAAAACTGCAGTCTCGTGCACCGGAGTAAGCGCCAATAAGCAGCAACTATTTCCAAGTGTGCATAGCACAGGATCAGGCTTGCAAGCGGGTTGAAACGCCATTACCATCTTTGAACTATCCGGCACACACAAACCCATCATACACATGAACGTATGACGCTGCCTTATACTGAATCAGACAACTGGCCCATCAAGGTCAGAACTGTCCACTGTGATTGGCAGTGGCTCTTTAGGGCGGTGGTGGGGGGAGTTCCCCAATGTGGTGCCCACGGGTGCCATAGCACCTGTGGACATCATTCTTCATGCCCATCAAGCATTTTTAGAAAGCCAGCAAGGGCCAGGTGGGGCTTTTGCCCAGCAAGGCTGCTGATTGGCTGTAGAGATTTTTAAATACACCCCTTTGGCAGCAGCTGCCAATATAGCAGAAGGAGCTTCGCCGTGCCCACCGCAGTCTCAGAATTCCAAAGGTCCCCGTGGGCTCAAAAAGGTTGCGGGCCCCTGCTCCAGGGTCTCAGCGGCAGAGGTCTTTCACATCGACTACTGTCTGGTCCTTTTTTTAACTGGAGATGCTGGGGACTGAACTGGGGGCCTTCCTGCATACCAAGCAGATGCTCTGCCACTGAGCCACAGCCCCCTCCCGCCATGGCAGTAGTAGTGAACTCAGTCAGAACTATAGAAATAGTACACACTTTGCTCAACTGGCAGAATGAGCTGACGGAGTACGTGCCTCCATTTCGAAACCTTCACTCAGAGCAACTTACGTAGTGGCCGATGGTGTTGGCATAGGTGTCAGCGATCCAGGACATCTCCCTCTCGCCCGTGCTCATGTCAGGGGCGGGCACATCGATACCAGGCCCTGACGGCAAGATTGAGAACATTTGAGGACATTCACAACATGCAAACATCGGTTACCTCCATTTGCTGCTAAGATTTGCATTAAAGTCGCAGTCTGCTATTAACAGCTTCTTAATTACAGTTTTCGTACTCTCCAGGCACCACGCCAGAGGCAACCTGAAGGGCTTCTAGACTCCTCCTGCAGGCTGATGCTGCTTTACTATGTAGTGCAGCCACAACAATGAAGGAAAAAATGATCCACATCACTGAGAAGTTTGTCAATTAAGATGCTACTATTGAGGGCTGAGCTTTAGTTCAGTGCTCGTCACCGTTTGCTCTGGAAAATACACAGCATTATGCTTTTACTGCTGAGCACAGTCTCTGGGACTCAAGTATACAGGGAATGACTAGCAGTTTAAGAAAACAGCAAGAGTCCAGTAGCACCTTAAAGACTAGCAAAATTTGTGGCTGGGTGTGAGCTTTCGTGAGTCACCACTCACTTCTTCAGATATCCGCAGTTTAATAATCACTGTATTAGATTGTCCTTGGAAGAATACCTCCTTAAACAATGAAAACAAGGCAAAGCCACCCGTATCCATTTCTAGAAATATTTTTTTTCTTTAGGAGTTTCAACAGCACCAGAATCAGTTTCCATTACTTCCCAAACTGGAGATCAATTCCTTTTCATAAGGCATCCTTGTGCATATTTTATTCAAGTCATGAGATGAGATAGAAGTGCACCAATTTCACTCTGCCCATGAGACACCAAAGAAACATTTTCTAGGAGGCATCGGATCGCAACAAAGGGAATTTTGCGAGTAGTCATTAGAACCATTCAGGCTTTAGTGCAAGTAAATATGGGCATGACAGGCTGGAAAGGACACACACGATAGTAAGATTCCTTTAGTATCTGTTATTTATTCTGGAAAGCTATTACAAAAACTTGTTTTGGGACTGCTATGAGGTGGAGCTTGACTTCCTTCCTCAGCTTCCTTTAGTACAGGCACAGCTTTCACCAGAATAATAATAAAAAAGAAGAGCAGCAAAACTGCTTTGAATATCAACCTGGCCAATTTTAGAAGGGTAACACTGTTAACATTTACAGAGCTCAAGTCTGTTGAGGAAGAGTGCCAGGGCCACTGTCAAGTCACACTGACTGAGTAAACCAAGCAAGATTGTTTTGGACATCAGGAAACGGAGCAAAAAAAAAATAAATCAGTTATCACAAGGCCATTATATAAATCAACACGATGTCCGCATGACGAATGCGTGCAATTCTTGTCTCGGCAGAGCAAAAAGTATATAGCAGAACTGTGGGGAATGTACAAAAAACATGATTTCCAGTGCAATCCTAAGAGAGATACCCTACACTGGAAGGTTTACAACATCAGAGACTGTCGCCAACTCCAGCATAGGAAGTTCCTGGAGACTTGAAGGCGGTGCCCGGGGAGAGAGAGAGCTCGACAGGGATCTGACGCCATGGAACACGCGATCCAAAGCCACCATTTTCCCCAGAGGGACTGATCTCTGTAGGCTGGAGATCGGTCGTAAATTCCAGGAGAACTTCCAAGCCCCACCTTGAGGTTGGTAACCCTCGTGGCAAATAGGCCTCAAAATGACCTACATAGGAACTTCGTTGGCATACTAAGACTGTAAAACACTCCTGTACCCAGAGGCAGTAAATACAGTTGTTACAGAATGGTCTGTGAGTTACTGAAAGCATGCCAAGCAACAGCTACAACTTGTTGGGAGTGGCAAAAACAAGAGGACACATTCTACCAAAAGTTGTCAGATTACATACCAATAAAGCTCTTCTTTGCTAGTTCTATGGTAAACCGTCTTGTGATTTTTTCCAACTCGTTATCCTGTTAAAAAGAGAAATCAGCGAAATTATTTATCAGTATACCATAAGCATCCATTTCTATTATTCGTCTGCTGATTTTTAATCTACCTTGTAGTCTCCTCAGTATTTGATTTGCTATACATTTTGTTTTATTTGTTCATACTACATATTGTTTGTTGCAAACTACCATGAGTGCCATACTGGTGGCTGAAAGGCAGGACCATACATTTTCTAAATGAACATATTCTAGTTTTGTGCATGTAGCAGAATGTGCAACATGCAACAGCTTCCGTTCTCAGCGTTCTGTACATAACATGCAGGTACCTGGGCATTTTCTATATTGCAAATGCCAGGCTAACAAACAATATGAGGTAAGGAGTGTGTACAGATACAGAAATAAACCGAAGCCAACATGGTTTGTTGTTCCTTTGGACAAGCCAGCTTCCCTCTGCTTTTGCTCTTTAATGAAAGAAGCATTAAGAGAAGTGTCATGATCTCTATTTGAGGTACATTCACTACCCCAAGGCAAATTCCAGTGGGTTGGATCCAGACAATAATATCCGCTAAAGGAACTTCCTTCCCTTCCCCCTCCTGCTGCAGCCCAAACGTATCCTGGAAATGCTGCTCATGAGAGGCAGGGATCCCCAGGACCAGTGCCCCCTCTAAGCTGAGTTAGTGTGAGTTAGCTCACAGTTTTTTTAGCCTCCGGCTCACACATTTTTTTACTTAGCTCAGGGAGGAGGGCTCCAGAGCAAACTAATTTACGCAGCGGCCAAAGTTGCCCACTCACAACTTTAATGCCAGGAGCTCACAAAGCAGAATTTTTGCTCACAAGGCTCCACGGCTTAGAGGGAGCATTGCCCAGGACCCATGGGGGCAAATCAGAGGTCTACAATGAGAAAGGGAGAAATCAACAAAAATCGTCCCCTCCATTTCTGTTGGCGGAACGGTATTGTTGAGATCCAACCTGACATACCTTGGGTAGTAAAGCATCAAGCAAAACCTGTCTGTGGTGGCAAAAGGCAGCGCTTCACAACTCCCAGAGCCTGTTACAAACGTCTATCATTTTCACTAATATTTTTTCCATTAGGAGAAAAATTGGAGAAAATAATGTTCCATTTTAAAAACGTACTGCATCTCCCAGGAAAAAAAAAAATCCGTAAAGAACAGAGGTGACATGGGAACAAAAACAGTACTACCCTCTATTCAAAGAAAACAGTTCTTAATCTTTTTGGTTAATGTAATACTTAGACCAACCATTCAGTTTGCTTGCTTGATAAAGTGCGGCAGGGGTGGTGGTGGTGAAGGGAGAAGAAAAGCATACAGACATCGACTACTTCCACTTGATTTAAGTCTCAATACACCTATGGAAAAGCTAAGTACCCTTCCATAATATGGTGGGTGCTGCCTGCAGAAAAAGGCATTCACAGGTACAACTAAAAACATTAAACCAGTCAAATAAACTGGGTTTAGAAGCTGTAGCGTTCTAAGCAGTAGCAAGTTTGAACACTGTTCTAAACATCAGTAACTTGCCAGACTGATGGCACACCTCATCCTTATAAAATTCTGCCGTGTATCACTAATATCTGGGGTATCAGGAATTTCCCCCTACCCTAAGCTCATATCTGCCTGGGCTGACGGTTCCAGTTGTGCCAGTCTTCATACAACGGCAGCACTTTGATACTAGATCAGTTTTCTTTGCAAAGCAAATGGGACAGTTTGCAATCTCAATATGTTACATTAGCTGGGATGAAGAAGACTGAGGGGTTATTTTATGTCCAACGCGCTTTTCTGTTTAGAGAAAGAAAACTGTGTGGTTGTAACTTGGGGAGAGAGTCACCTGTGCCTTAGTAAATAAGTCCTCAAAGTTGAGCCACAACTCGACACACTCTGCCAAGAAAAATGAAACTGGGCTGACAGTTTTACCCTAGAGTTTTTACTTAAGGATTTAAACACACTCACCTGCCTTGGCTGAAACTGTGAATCTCACACTGGTTTGCCCCTCCTTCCGATGCTTCCCCCTCCAATTAGGTATCTCGGCCACCCATCCATATATACCACTTTACAAATGTATTTTAAAATGTGATCTTTTACATCTCGATGTGGGCTCCCCATGGTGCCTGCGGATACCTTCTCCTGGTGCCCACTGAGCTTTTCAGAAAGTGGGCAGGGCTACTGTAAGGCAGGGCCTATCACCCACCCCACCCCACCCCACACACAAGCCTTTCCTTCGTTTGCTTTTATTCCTGTTCTGCAATTCCTTTGTAAAGCGAAGAGGGAGATATTGCATTTGGCTCTGCCTCTTGCGTGCAGCCACTCTGAGTGTGGCCCTGCCTCCTGCGGCAGCCATTTTGGGGTGGCGCTCCCCACCCCCTCTTAAAATTCCAAAGCTGCCCGCAGGCTCAGAAAGGTCGAAGACCCCTGACCTAGATATGCTTGGAAACTTTAAATTTTGAGAAAGTTGCTACTTAATCTCTCCATGCCAACAATGTACAGAGCACAAATTACCACTCTCTCCGTGCTACCTTACTATGGCCCCAGTCACACGGCAAAGTTGCCGCCGGAGAGGCACGGGAGTCCCACGGATTTTCCGGGCGTGATCTCACCTCAACATCTGGGAAGCACAGTGCTCCCGTGGCGAACCCGTGGCTCCCTGCCGAAGGTGCGGAGTTAAAAACTAGTACCTCCGAGGTACTAGTTTCCGGAAACTGCAGGGCAAGGGCGGGCGTCTGTCCGCGTTTCCGGTGGACTTCCGTGGCATCTGGCGCCCGCCCATGTCCCGTTGCAAAGAAGGGTTTTTTTCCCCCCAAGTCTCCACAGGATGCGGACAAGCACCCAACGGAGCATGCGCACAAACAGGAAGCGGCGTTTGCCACAGGAGCCGCGCGGCGTGAGTGCCGGTTTGAACGCGCCGTGCTGCTTCTTTGCCGCACTGCAGACTAGCTGTCTGATCTGCACCTGACGCCTACCCACGGGACCTCCAAAGGACCTCTGATTGGGTTGCCGCACGTTATTTTCCTCCGGGGCAATTAGCCACGGCTCCCCCCGCATTTTCCGGCCTATAATAGAAACACTTCTAAAAAATAATCAACCTTGACACACCAGTTAAAAGCAGAGCTCTATGAAATTTAGACTTACTGTATAATTCCTAGGATTGATCTTAACACCAGCCTTTGCACCACCAAATGGCACATCTGAAAACAAAATTTTCATCTTAAGTTTTAGGAAGTTGACAAGAGTGCTAAATTATAAAACAACGAATGTTCCTGACCACAGAGGTAGAACCAGTGTACATTCAGTTCATACACATGTGAATTCTGTGCCCGCAATTGGGGGAATGTGCAGGGGGAAGAACGGGGGCAACTTTTCCAAAGATAAGCTGAGGCAGAGAAGAGCCAGTGTGCTCACGCCAGTTCCCCTCTATGTATCTTCACTTGTTCTGCATGTACCCTGTATACAGGCCTACTGGAAATACAATGGGGCACTAGTCAGCCCTGAAAAACTGTTGGGTTTGAAATATGTCAGGACTTGTTTTGATTCTGCGTAAGTTTCAGAAATGTTGGTACTTTCTGCTCCATTGCCTTCAAGAACCAAGTATGTTTTAAAGACCGGCTCCGGGAAGCATTGCTTCATTGATCAAAACCAATGCTTACTTAAATTGGCCTCTTTCAAAACTTGCCAGTGGAAAACTCTCTGTCCCCGAGAATCCTCTCCCCCTTCATCACAACTGACTGATTCACTGCTAAATATCATTTCCTTTTCATCTGAAGCAGACCACTGCTTCACTAAAAAAAAAAAAAGATCAAATGAAGCACAGGAACAGAATTTTTAATGTTTTACGTATTGTAAATTTAGTTCTAGATTCTGGGGAAGCCACCTTTTGAAGATTTTAACAAGTTTAATTCCAGGTCTGGTTAGCGGCGTTGACTCAATCAGTATGGGTAACTTTATACATATTACTTACCGACCACTGCACATTTGTATGTCATTAAAGAAGCTAAGGCCTTCACTTCATCAACACTCACTTCTGTGCTGTAACGAATGCCTGTTAAGAAAAAAAGATGAAGATGAGCCACTGATGCGTAGGTCTACCATGTAAATTATGTTTTCATCTACTAGTAGAATCAATCCTCAGAGCCTTCGAACAAGTTAATTCTTTGAACAGGAAGCACTGCAGAGTATATCTTCCCTGGGCAGAGCTCCATGCAACTGATTTTTCAAGCTTCTCTGGAGACAAAAAGAGACCCCAGATTGGTATGCACCCACAGTAATCCGAGGACTAGATTCAAATACCCTGCTTTGATTAGTAGCAATTAGTAAGTATGGCCAGCACTTTACAGACACAATAGACCTAAGTACTTGTGCCAGCAGGCATTCCCACATGTCTTTAATTCAGAGTGCCACCCCTGAAGCTCCAGGATTTGTTTTCCAGTGCTAGACAGGCACAGCAGTTGGTAAGCCCAAACACTTATGTTCTGATGCACCAAGTTTTAGGATTGGGCAGGTTAGACTGATCTCAGAAGCTAAGCAGGGTTGACCCTGGCTAGTATGTGGATGGGAGACCTCCAAGGAATACCAGGGTAGTCATACCCAGGCAGGCAATGGCAAACCAACTCCAAACATCTCTTTCCTTGAAAACCCGACAGGGATGCCATAAGTCACTGTGACGTGACAGGAAAACAACAACAACGATTAGTGGTTGGTCTGGAAACTGTTCTAATATTCTACTTGATGCTGCATTATCTCCAGCCACAAAGTAAAATGGACCATTTCGCATGACTGTAGAAGGCTGTCTTGCTGACAAGCGGTGGCAACCCACTACTGAAAACACTGGATAACTAGAAAGCTTCATACCCTCACTATACGCTGCCACAGTGGCTTTGAACATTAAAAAGCACCACAGATTGAGATGGAAAGTGACATGTAGATGGCTACTTGTACTACTCTGTAATATTCATATGGTGGCTTCTATTGCACATAGACACACACACATACTCCATGTCTTGAATTCAGAGATTCAGTAGGTCTACCTTCTCTCACCCTTTATGAAACAGTGTTCATAAGCAACATGACCCCCTATTGCACATAGACACACACACATACTTCATGTCTTGAATTCAGAGATTCAGTAGGTCTACCTTCTCTCACCCTTTATGAAACAGTGTTCATAAGCAACATGACCCCCTCCTTATTTCTTAACACTCAGACCAGAAAGAAATTGGTACTTTAATCAACAAACTATGCACCTCACAGCTATCCTTGGAAGCCTTTTCAGAACATTCAAGCTTACAAAGGATGTCTGTCTAAATTAGGCTCAAGTTCTGAGCAAAATTTGTTCCCAGTGACCCGACTTGCATATTCCAAGGACAAAAAAAAAAATGATTGCATGGTTTCTTTTCCAGTTTTCCACCCTATCATGACACAGTTCAATATTTAGTACTGCTATCAGGATGTTTTCCCTCAAGCTAACTACATTAAATTCAAGTGCATTACAGAGTTTCTGTAAGAGCTGTTTTATTTGTTTGTTTTATGCTGATCACTGTAAGGCACTATTATGAAGCAAGACATCCAGTCAACTTTCTGTGGCTGTTAAAGTAAAGGTAAAGGTTCCCTTGCTCGAAAGCCAGTCGAATCCGACTCTAGGGTTGCGGTGCTCATCTCCGTTTCAAAGCCAAAGAGCCAATGCTGTCCAAAGACATTTCCGTGGTCATGTGGCCGGCATGACTCAACACCAAGGCACACGGAACGCTGTTACCTTCCCACTGAAGTGGTACCTATTTATCTACTTGCAATTTCTTGCTTTTGAACTGCTAGGCTGACAGGAGCTGGAACTAGAGACGGGAGCTCCGTCATGCGGCACCCTTGGGTCTCGAACTGCTGAACTACCGACCTTCCACAGCCTGCAGTTCAGCGTCTTAACCATTTGAGCCACCTCTTTTCAAAATGTGTTCCCCTGAGTTAAAAGCAGTCTGGCAATTCATGTGTGGGAATAGCAATGCTTCAGCTTTATATCCTCACTCATTTCTCTAGTCAAGCCAGCAACTGTTCGAGAGGAAAGATGAAAAGCTTTTGGACTGTCATACTGCCGAAACCTAAAAAAAGCATATAATGAAATCTGTTCTAGCTGGAGCCAATCTTTCAGCCTTATGAAAGCCAACTTAAATCAAAGAATGCCTGCTCGGAGCTAACTTTCTTAGAAATCCCCAAATCATTAACAGGTAAGGCAGGTGGCAACTTTTCAATAACTGCCACAATTTACTTGTCTTACTTATATAAATATGTCATTCTTGGATCCACAACGTAGCTTTTAGAATGTTCCTTTGCACTTCCAAATGCCTTTAAAGAACTTTAAAAAGCAAAAGCAGTTACTCGCTACTTCTCAACTGAGTATCCGACTGTATATACCTCATGCAACACCAATACACTCCACTTAAAAGAGTACAGATTAAACGGGGTCTATTGAATAAAGAATCTTTGCTCACCTCTGAAACAGAACCAAATCAGAAAGCTTTAGGTTATGCTACCTTGTAACGTATTCCCTAACTTCCAAATTTGTTTGAGTCAAAAAACTAAGATCCAATACAATGGCAAAACTAATTCTGTGAGCCCAAGGATATGAGCCCAGAGGAGATCCGGGCCCTGCGGGACCTCACACAGTTCCGCAGGGCCTGTAAGACGGAGCTCTTCCGCCAGGCTTTTGAATAGGAGCCGCCACCACTACTGTTCCATCAACGCCCTATAATTTCCGCATACTGTCATTGCTGGTGCGGGTACCATCGGAGGGAGTGGGACGTGCCTAGGGACAACAGTGGGGCACTGTTATACAACTATATCATTGAGAACACCATCTTGACTTTAAAAATCTGGAAGTGAGTAGAGGAGCACCGGAAAATGTTTTAAGAACTCTGGTTAATTATTTAATTGTTTATTTTGTAATTTGAGTCTGTATTTTACTGTTTTATTATTACCTGGTGTTATGCCTCTGTTAGCCGCCCTGAGCCTGCGGGGAGGGCGGGATATAAATCTAAATAAATAAATAAATAATAAATAAATAAATTTATTCCTAAAAAGCGCTGCCTGCCTGTGTCCAACTGTGATAGAGCTAAAGAGTCTTTTAAGAGGAGAAGTCAAGAAAACTACTGGGCTATTGCAAGATCCTTGCATTAGCCTAAGTAGTTCTTCGGACCCTAGCCAAGAGCTGGAATAATGGCTCTATCCAGTTCTAAGCCCTGGCCTCTAGCACAAAGCATAAAAAGGTGTGTAGCTCCTGGGGGGGGGGGGGAGTCTTACAGATTCATAAACAACCTAACATCAGGGATATTTTTAGCATGCTGGAGCCTGTTCAAAACTAAAAAAAAAAAAAAACAGTTAAGTCAGACTACTTCATGAGCTGTAGTTTGAAGAGGAATCATTTCAAAAGCCTTTAAGGGTGCACATTTGGCTTGTTGCTGGACATCTATGAAGGTTTTGGGGTCACTGCAACTTTTGCTAGCTGCCTTGAATCTGAGGAGACAAGGCAGGATAATGAATACTTTAAACAACAGATCTCTCGGCCACCTGCAAGGAAGTTCACTCATACATAATGGCAGGTAGAAGTGAAGGCCAGGGGGAATAAAAACACAGGGAAACTTTTCCTATCTGGATTTTCCCAATCCCAGCACTGAAACATTTTGAAAAATGCTAAAATCTCCTATGAAATATGTTCTCTGTTAGACTGAGTGAAATATTGTTGAAGACAAGAGCTGCTTCCACATGGAGACTATTCTCCATGCAGCACCTGGGAATGAAGAAGCATTTATAGGGGCAACAGGAGATCCAAAAAGAACTGTTTCCCTAGAATTTTTCTCATCTCAGCTCTCTGTAGCTGCCACCCCCCTCTACGGGATGGCTTTTTAAAAATTAGAAATGGCTAGGCCATTGTTATAACATCATAGTGATCTACTGCAACAACATACTTGATCCCAGCTTTCGTTTTTTTAAAAGTCTCTGGCACTTTTAGTGTCTAAGTTTAGTGCCTGCACCTTTCTGCTCATAACTGGGCAACCCAAAAGTGCTAGAGACTTATTTTAGAAAAAGCAGAAGATGGCAGTAGGGAGACAGGGTTGCCAGACCCCCGCTGGGGACAGGGGAACCCTTGCCGGGGTGGGGGGGACGGCGCTTCCCTGCTGCTGGCCAGCTGACTGGCGGGGAGAAACCCTGCCCCCAACTGGCCTGAATGGTGATATGATGACATCACCCGGAAGTGACATCATCACATCGCCAACATGGCAAACAGAAGCTCTAGTTTTTTGGTAAAACTCTATGATAAAATCTCTCCCTTATATATAAAGCAGTAAGACGCAGACTCACGCACAGGAGAGAAAATGCGCCCCTACAGTGTTTGGCCGGCTGACCGGTCCGTCACAACCTTCCCCGCCTTCCATTGGCTGTGTCCCATGGCTCCCACCTCCGACGCCGACCGGACTGCGAGGGGCCGCGCTCTCCTGCCT